TTTTGGGGGGTCCCAGACCCATCCCGGGCATTTTGGGGGGGTCCCAGACCCATCCCGGGCATTTTCAGGGGGTCCCAGACTCATCCCGGGCATTTTTGGGGGGTCCCGGACCCATCCCGGGCATTTTCGGGGGGGTCCCCATTAGGTCCTTTGTGCCCTGGGAGGGGTCTCTGTGCCCTGAGGGGGGTCTTTGTCACCTGGGGGGAGGGTCCCTTTTTTGGAAGTTCCTTGTCCCAATTTTGGGGGTTTCTCTGTCCCTGGGGGGGTTCCCTGTCCCTGGGGGGGTTCCTGGTCCTGGAGGGAGGGGTCCCCTTTTGGGGAGGGGTCTCACCGTAGTCCTTGGGCAGGGGGGCGGGGGCTGCAGGATGAACCATCGGCTTCTTGCGCCGCTCCACCACCGGGCTGGGGGGGTCGGGGGGCGGCGTCCCCCCCGCCGGGGGGTCCCCCCCGCGCTCCTTCGTCATGGCGAGGCCTGGGGGGGGAGGGGACAGGACAGCTCAGGGACACCCCAGTGCCACCAGGGACACCCCAGTGCCACCCCAGTGCCACCCCAGTGTCACCCCAGTGCTACCAGTGTCACCCCAGTGCCACCCCAGTGCCACCAGTGTCACCCCAGTGCCATCCCAGTGCCACCAGGGACATCCCAGTGCCATCCCAGTGTCACCAGGGACACCCCAGGGACACCCCAGTGCCATCCCAGTGCCACCAGGGACACCCCACTGCCACCCCAGTGCCATCCCAGTGCCACCCCAGTGCCACCAGTGTCACCCCAGTGCCACCCCAGTGCCACCAGAGTCACCCCAGTGCCATCCCAGTGCCACCAGGGACATCCCAGTGCCACCCCAGTGCCACCCCAGTGCCACCCCAGTGCCACCCCAGTGTCACCCCAGTGCCACCCAAGTGCCACCAGGGACACCCCAGTGCCACCAGTGTCACCCCGGTGCCATCCCAGTGTCACCCCAGTGCCACCCCAGTGCCACCAGGGACACCCCAGAGGAGGAGCTGGACCCCCCCCCGCCCCACGGCCTGCCGGGGGTACGGGAATGGAGAGGGGGCGACACCGGGATAGGGAGGGGACACCGGGAATGGGGAGGGGGCGACACCGGGATGGGGAGGGGTCCCAGGGAATGGGGAGGGGGAAACGGGATTGGGAATAGGACACCGGGATCGGGAATGGGGAGGGGGAAACCGGGAATTGGGAGGGGGCGACGCTGGGATGGGGAGAGGCGGAAATTGGGATGGGGAACCGGGAATGGGGAGGGGGACACTGGGATGGGGAGGGGGAACACTGGGATGAGGAGGGGGCACCGAGATGTGACACCGGGAATGGGGAGGGGGCCCCGGGATACCGGGGGAAATCGGGATACTGGGAGGGACCGGGATACTGGGAGGGACTGGGATACAGGAGATGAGGAGCACCGGGATGAAGAGGGGGCCTGGCTGGGGGTCCCCGGGATGGGGAGGGGTCCCCAGAAATGT